ATAAAAACTCATAATAAATTTATTGAAAGGAAGAAAAAAGAAAAATGATTCGTGCACACGTGAGATTGGATTAGGTCTTAAGAAAATGTAAATTTCTTACTTTGGTATATAATTTTATTTTCTTGTAAACGTTATTTGACTCAACATAATATTTCTTAATTTCTGCTAATTTTAAAGTTGTTGGTTTATGTGTTCATGATATTTGGTTCTTCTAGCGAAATCTCCTGTATTTGCAAAAACTGTAATTTTTTTTTCTTAATTTTCATTGATTTTAAAATGGTTGGTTTCTGTGTTCATGGTATTGGGTTCTTTTAGTGAAATCTCCTGTGTTCGCAAAAGTTGTGACATTTGCTCTTTTGACTTTTATCAAGATTTAATTTATTAGGTAAAATTTGAACATAACATTTGCATTTTTAACTTTTATTTTACTTTTTTAATATATTCTTTTATCTGCTTATTTTCTTTTATGGTTTTTTTTTTATTTTCTTGAGTTAAAGAATGGTAGAACCATTTTAATATTTCAAATCATTAATTTTTTCCTTTTTATCATAAGTAAAAATATAATTAGTTGTATGTTGAAAAATAAACAATAAACTTCAAAGTAAAAAACTAATGATGGATTGATGGTGATTTTTTTTAAAAATAAGATTTTATGATAAAATTATTGAAGTCAATCAGCTATGACAGTTATTATGGCTCTAATCTACTTCATTGCCATAGTTTTGCCAATTCTAATATGAATTCTAAATTATTGTTTATGTTACTTGATTTAACTTTACAACAAGTATATAGAGACAGCAAGCAGATAACTTAGAAGAAATTTCTTCCATTTTGCTTTCTCAATAAAAACGTTGTTGTTGCATAATTCATTTTGCATGAAAGCATGAATTTACTGTCATTTGATATAAGCAGGAATATGGTTTATTGAGTTAAGGAATATGCTGGATTTGAACATTACTTTGACAATTGCCTGATTGTTGTGTATGATTTGATCACTTGTATGATGATTTAATCATCAATTGAGATTGCATGAGCAAATAGCTAGAGGCATAATTTTACTGTCACTAAATTTAAATGAGTTGATATGTTTATTTTTGGTGCATTGATGAGGTCAATAAAACAAAATGATTCTTGATTTCTAAATTTGATATGAAAGATTTGGGATAAGTAAATGTTATTTTGGGTATTAAAATCATAAGATGTGATAATGATTTAATGCTAACACAGGAGCATTATATTGAGAAGCTATTTAAAAAGTTTAGACATTTTGATATCGCAGCTGTAAATACTCTTTATGATGATAATATCTAATTAAAGAAAAATAAAAATGATAATGTGGCTCAGTTTGAGTATGTTCAGATTATTGGAAGTCTGATGCATTTAATGAATTATATTCAACTCAGTATAGCTTATGTTGTGTGTAATCTGAGTAGATATACACAAAGTCTCAATCAAGATCATTGGATTGCCTTGAGCAAACTAATGAAATACTTGAGAGGTGTCATAAACTATGGTATTTTATATAATGGATTTCTTGTTATATTAAAAAGATACAATGATGCTAACTGGATCTCAAATTCAAATGAGACAAAATCCAAAAGTGAATATATATTCACCCTTAGTGGGAGTGCTTTAACTTGAAAATCAACCAAACAAATAATAATTGCTAAATATAAAATGAAATCAGAATTTGTAACTTTGAAGTTGGTTGGCAATGAAGTTGAGTGGTTAAGAAACTTCTTAACAGATATTCTGTTGAGAGTAAAACTAACGCTTTTTGGGTCTATACATTATAATTGCTAGGTGTCAATAGTGCCATTACAAAGAATAAAACTTTTAATGATAAAAATAAACACATTCGCTTGAGACATGATATAATAAAATAATTGCTTAGAGATAAAATTATGTTCATTAATTATGTAAAGTCCGAATTGAATTTAGGCGATCCTTTAACTAAACCCCTAAGAAGAAAATTGATTACTAATACATCAAGGGGAATGAGACTTAAGCTAATTAAGGAAATCAACAAATAGTAGTAAACCAACCTATGAAATTGAAGATCTCATGAATTTGATTCATATGGATAATAATAAGCTATTTGTTGATAAATTGATACACTATTAAAAATCATTGTCCCTCTTATGGTGTGTAAATAGTGTAAGACTACAATGAATGAGAAGTTGAGTTCAATTCTTAATGAGTTCCATATCCCTTATGAGTAGTGTATTAAACTACAACATACACTTAATGAAATCACTTATATAAGTGCGGAGTAGGGTCTTTCCTATGAGAATTGTGCTAAGTTCACTAAAACACTTATAAATAACCCAGCATGTGTTTGGCTTATTCACGTAAAACTGTATTGAACAATAAAAATTATAAGGGTGTAATGTGATTAATGAAAATTATATATCACATAAAGAATTTTTGGTTCATAGAAGTTATAAACTTCATCAAAATTCTATGATTTATGTTTTATTCTTTCTAAGACTGGTTCATAGCTTAAAAAGCACCAATCACGATGCATTACACTCAATTGAAATTTGACCTAACAAAAACCTTTTATGAAACCTTATAAAATATGTGAGGGATTGTTAAAAAAATACTATATTTTATAAAGTTTCAACATCCCACATTGCCAAGTTATAAGAAAGACAATTAGCTTATATATGAAAACCCATAATAAGCTTATTGTAAGTAATAAAAAAAGAGGTTTTGCACACGAGATTGGATCAGGTTTTGAGAAAATGCAAATTCCCCCTTAAGCACATTATTTGACTCCACATAATTTTTCTTGATTCCCTCTAATTTTCCATTGATTTTATGCTTAGTTGAAACAATCTTAATGATTTATAATTCTCTTAAGCGTTATATGACTTTGTATAATTTTTCTTGATTCTCTCTGATTTGTTTTAATGATATGATTAGTTGAAACAGTCTTAATGATTTATGATTCCCTTAAACGTTATTTGACTCTCTGCATAATTTTTCTTGATTCCCTCTGATTTTTCACTGATTTTATGCTTAATTGAAACAGTCTTAATGATTTATGATTCTCTTAAACGTTATTTGACTTTGCATAATTTTTTTTTATTATCTTTGATTTTATATTGATATTTTGTAACGTAAACTTTCTACTCTACTCTATAAATATAATCTCCCTACCTCAATCACAATACACCAATAGTTCTATCATTTCCTTTAAAACTTCTCTGTATATTTTCCCTGTTTAAGATTTATCATTAATTTGACTAAGCCTAATATTTCTTGATTCTTTTATTTGACTCAGCATAATTTTTTTTGATTCCCTCTGATTTTCTGTTGATTTTATGTTGATATTTTATAATGTTAACTTTCTGCTCCAACTTATAAATACAACCTTTCTACATCAGTTACAATACACCAGCAGTTTCCTTATTTCCTCTAAAGTTTCTCTACATATTTTCTTTGTTTTCGTCGTTTTCCAAGTGGGGTTTTTTTTTACAATACACCAATAGTTCTATCATTACTATTATCTCTTACTAGTTTGTGAAAACTAATAAAAAACAGTTTCTGAAATCCTAGAAGATAACCACTATAGTTCTTTTACATCAAGTTTCGTACTTAAAAAGGATAAAAATTATCTTTAAAGATAATAAAATCACACCTAAAACTTGTGTTGATTTTGTGCTTCGTTATTTTTCCGATAAATTCAACAAAGGAGTATTACACCAATGCAGCTCTTCTATTCTTTTTTGGCAAAGGTTTGCTTCATGATATGGATGTACTAAATGGTGGAATTGATTATGAGGAGATGGATATCATAAAGGCTTGTGAAGCAGAGAAAAAAAAAACAAAAGACCTACTGTTTTGTAGGTCCAAGGAGGAACTGTTTTCTCAAACATTTCTGCTGTTTTTCTAGGATCCACTCTTCCAATCCTTACTTAAAAAAGAAAATTCAAGATGCTTGAAAACGCAGACAATTAGAATTTATAAAAAAAAAAAAAAAACTTATCAATTGGTTGTGTCACACATAAGAGGTGGGTACTCTTTTGTCTCCTTTTCCATTTAATTACTTGCACTTAATTATTTGATTTTGAGATTTCAAGTGTTTTCCCTAAAATAAGATATAGTCCTCTTGCATGATTATTAAGTAAATTTACTTAATTTTGTCTACTTTGTTTGTATAAATAAAATTATCTTATACAACAAATCTATTTACCTTATAATATCCAGTTATGTGATAGTTGATCTAGAAAAGGAAGCAAGTTCATTTATGATGTGAATATATGGGGAAAGAAAAAGCAATGAATGGGGGCATGACCACCACAAATGTCGTATTCAATTGAAGGAACTCAACCACTAGCCTATAACATAGGATGCATGCACTTTGATTGTTTACCACATTCAAACCAAAGAAAAAACAAAACATAGAAGAGGTAAGACTACATCATAGATCATAGTCCAAAGTTGAAAACTACAGCATATGTTGTTGAATGTCTATGTGCAAAGCACTTTCATACCTTCGTTTCCTGACATTATTTAATGTCAGTGACTTTGAAGCACAGTGTGATCATTTGTACAAGGAAAAGAGAGAGAGAGAGAGGTGCAGCTCTTGCTTTATAGTGTGAGTAGGTGAAAGAAGAGAAGTAAAAGACAGTTCAGCTAATCATCAATGGCTTTTCCAAAGGGGAAAAGGGGAAAATAATTAGAGAAAGTGGGTTGTCTTCCTCCAAAAAGAAACCTTGCTATGCCCCTTACTCCGACCTGAATCATTCTTTACCACGAAGCAAAGCACATCATGCAGACGCTATTGGTTTGCTTCATCACTGAAAATGGCATGGAGACCATGAAGGAAAGGGTACACGTTCGGAAAGTACAATTTCCTCTTCATCATCAATCTTAGCGTTTTAATTATTTTTTTTCAACAATTTATTCAAACGAAATTTGTAACTAATACCTAGGCCAGAATATGCTGGTTATTTACAACCCTTTTCTCTCACTCAGCATTCCGAATAGAGTTCATGCTCTAAGATAGCTGCAGAGCAGAAGCCCCCTTCATTTATCTTCAACAAACCATACATCATTTCTTTATGTTCAAGAAAAAGGCGACTTTGGAAACAGAACGTTATGGAACCCAAATCAGGCAAAATTTTGGTCATGGGGTACATATCCACAAACTGAAAGAAAGTAAGGAAAGAAAGTAACAGAGATCGTTTCCAAAATTGTATTCTAGAGGATGAGGACCCGTACGTGAGAAATAATATGATTGCTGAAATCTGCTTGATAAGAATACGGATTATATCCCCGCCGATTGGCTGACAAAGGTGTTGTTGAATGTGGTTGAACCAATAGCAGCTTTAACCAATGGATATGTATTATATCTGAGAACTACAGATCAAACCTCTGTGGAACAAGCCAGAGCTTTCTCGGACTGGTGCTGTAAAGCTTGAAACTGTGACAATTGTCATATAAAATCAGCAGAAAGCGCACCCAAAAACAAGTTCAACTGAATCCACACCAAAACAATAAAGCCACTGTCAACTGAATGGATATCTAGCTTACGTTCTCACTCTAGCTCTTAGATGCCATTGATGTAGGACCAAAAAGTAACTAGTAATGAAAAACACATACAAACACACAAAGCGAATAAATAAACTGAAACTCACTCCAGCAATGCTCTCAAGAACTGCTCCATTGTCTGAATTTGCATATTCCACGACGATTTTCAGTAAAAGAATCACGAATGGACTGGAGCATGGAAGATACAGCAGGAACACAACCCAGATCTTCATCATGTTCCTACAAAGTTAATTAAAACTTTCTTTAAGAATATCTTAAACATGAGTTTGAATATTTTTATGTCTGTAATGTGTGTGTGTGTGTGTGCGCGTGTGTGTGTGTGTGTGTGTGTGAGAGAGAGAGAGAGAGGGGTATTACCACTTCAGCAAGACGCTCATCAAATCCCATAGAATTTGTGTCACCGGGCATGAAAATTTTTCTGTAAGCTGTTCTCAGACACTTAATCTAGAACCTTGCCCAAAAAGAAAAATGTACAGCACTTTTAAACACATGACCAGATTAAATGAATGGAGTTATCACAACAAAGTAGAAACTTATCTCCATGTATCAACGGTATAGACTATAAGTGATGAACAATCTAACAAACTAAAGGAAAGGCAGAATAAAAATAACAATATTGTGCTCAAACAAAATTCCAAGAAGCTGCCTGTGACATCCTCCAAGCAATAAAAGGACATGAAAGACTAGCATTCACATATAATTTTTCCTTGCAAATTCTATACCTTATGTTTGTTTAAAAAATTGAACATCTGGATAGTATATGTTGATTTGAACAGCAACGGAAGCAAATATACATTAGAAACTACAATCTTTCAATCTTGATAGACTACAGCCTAACTCCATATCCAATGAGTTTCCACATAATATCACCCATACATTATAGGATGAACTTATCTTACCATGTCTTTCATTTCTATAAATATACTCAATAAACATTTTCTTGGCTGGAGTTAGACTCCATAACATGCACTTTGGAGAAAGGCACACCATAATAATGCCTTAAACCGACGACAGTGGGTCTTGTGGCCAATATCAAACATAAAAAATCATAAGAAGGTGATACATTTGAACACAAATGCTACTCGAGGCAGAAATAAGAGAAAAAGCGAATGCAACTTTGAATAGTTTTCTGAAATTCCACCTGCATACTATGTTGGTAACCAAAAACCTCAAGCAAAATCCAGAAGACCATGACATGCAATTTTAAACAAAGGAAGACTACATTATAGAGAACGATCTTTTTGAAAGAAAGTCTTTTCCATCCCACACCAATAATATGATGGAAGTAAACTATGAACCCATCAGAATAACTGCTGAATCTTTTCACCAACCTCTGTGACTAGGAATCCACGACGACGAAGACCCTCCAAATTCAAACCACGAAGCTCAGCTCTCTCTCCAGACACCATCATGTACTTTGGGACATCTTGTGAAACCTTCATGCAGGAAACAAAGTTGAATTTGGTTGTAAAAGCAAAGGAATGTCTGTAAGTCATCTGCTATATGATAAAACGGCCCTACAGCTGGATTATGGAACTACAGGACTTATTTAGCATCTTTTTGCAGTGTAGGGCACATATGATACTAGAGGTCATACCACAGATCCACCACCAATGAAAGCAAATGAGCCAATATGACAAAACTGATGAACAACAATTGCTCCTGCAGTGTGCGCATGGTCCTACATTTGTAACACTTGAATCAAATTTAGCAGACACTGTAATCTAAGATAGACACATATAGAAAGACATTTTCTATAGCAAACGGTAGACAAGGGAGTTACCTCCACAATGACATGGCCTGCAAGGAGAGTATTGTTCGCAAATATGTTATTATTACCAATTTTGCAGTCATGTGCAATATGACAAGACCCCATGATAAGATTGTTATCACCAATAACCTGATTACACATGTTAGTTAGATAAGGGAGGAAATGCATGGATAGCATACACATGTTTATGACTTCAATATATAAAGACAAATAATGCTGGTAGTTTTATATGCTTATCTACCGTTATATCACTTGACTTTGAAGATCGATGGATTGAAGTAAATTCTCTGATCTCATTGTTGTTTCCAACATCCAGAAAACATTCATCCCCTGACTAAAACCACAGAAATATGATCATAAGTGGTCATATCTTTTTCAAATATTAAACTTTTGAAACATAGTACACAGCTGCTATCAACATACACATGCTCGTCATTACTAGCCATCAGAAGCATACATTGGATTACGCATCAAACACTGAAGAAGATAAGTTACCTTATACTTCATGTCTTGGCATTTAATACCAACCACAGCATGATGCCCAATGATGTTGTTCCATCCTATTACAGTACGCCCAGGAAGATCATCACCAACAACAGCACCACTGCCTGATAAAGTTTTAGGACTTACATAAATTACGAAATATACTACATAAAATAAATATATTTCTAACAGAAACACAAAAAGAAGAAGAAAAAGAAAAATGACCAAATAGAAACTCACGTCATCAAAATGCAGTGGTTCCCCAATTCAGTATTTCCAAAAATATGGCTTGAAGGATGCAACTGACATCCATTTCCTAGTTTTGCGGAAGAACCAATTGTGCAAAAAGGACCTATTGAAACACCCTGTGCCATAAATTTTGAAATTTTACTGATGGATACATATCATTACAAAGGATACAGCAATCCATAGCCCAACTAATGATTATGCAAATAAGGAAAGATGTCAAAAGGCAATTCAACAAACAGAGAGCCGTTGTTAAAGTAGCAAATTGTTTGACAGGGAAAAGCCAACAAAGAACTGGGTTTCAACAAACAAAACAAGTCACAGATTTTCAGGTAGCTAACTACCAATGCCTATTGAGAGAAATACGTTCCAGGTTTTAATCAAAGAAGGAATAAAAAAAGGGAGTAGAAAAAGAGCACCTGGCCAATCACAGCATTTGGATGAACAATTGCAGTTGGGTGTATAAAGCTCGTACCCTCCTTTTTATTCTGAAAAGCATCTGGTTCACAATCATGGGGGAAAGAAAAATAGAAAGAAACCAATGTAACAAGTTGTTCAATCTTCATTGTAAGATAGATAAAATTGAAAAAAGAAAAAAAAAAAAAAGAAGAAGGGCTTATTACAGTCGAGAGTTGAGGAGAAGCGATGCAAAGATAGAGTGGTGAGAGAAGAGCTTAAGGGCTTTCGAAGCTTGAGCAGGGAACTCATGGGTTGCCGCTCTTGCTCTCACTCTCGCTCTCCGACAATGGCGGATCTTTTTCAACCTTTTAACGTTTTCGTTTTTTCAACCTTTTAACGTTTTCGTTTTTTCAACTTTCAGCCGCCGCGCCCCCGATGCTTCCGATCTTGTCTTTCCTCCCAGATTTTATCCGTTAGTTTCGTACTATGACTCATGTTAATCTAGACCGTTCGTTTTTCCGACAAGATGCTTGATGTACGGAAGTAAATACACGTGGATTTTTTAAACACAAAGAATAGATATTTGGGCCTATTGGGCCAGTTGGTAATCTGCTATAACTTGGGCTACTTGGAGTTTTCAATGTGAGTGGATCGGATCATTCATGCTAAACTAGTTTTGTGTTGAGGATGGATAAGGCCTAATTACTATCTGACTACGGCCCTACAGAAAGGCCCAGTACTATAAAACAAAGAATTCGTGAAATTCCAACAAAATATGATGTTTTTTCTCTTTTGTTACAGTGACTGAATTGTGAACCATCTAATCTGCACCATTGAAATTTACAAACAAGGGAATGTTGATTGCTGACATAATAGAATTGAACGGTAAGCAAGCTCCCTCAATATTCTTTAAAGAAAAAACATAGTAGTTGTTGAGCTTACATAATACAGACTGACAAAGAAAAAATACTAACGAAATCGGCATGTCACCGATCGACATGATTTAATGGAAACAAAAGGCAGAAAAGTGCTATAAAACTATGGTTCAACTCTAAAAAATTAAAAAAAAAAAATGGGTATAAGGAGAAGAATGATATAATTTACAAAACATTGACTCAATTTTACAGCTATATGAATATGACCATATGAATCTATACCATAATTCACCTTAGTTAATAACAAAGGGTGACACTGTTTCCAAATTATATTCGCCTTAGCCCTCAGGCCTTCTTCACTCTTTCCAGAGTGAGCTGCCTATCTACTCGTCTCTCTGTGCAGTGTAGCTATCAATATATTTCTGCCTTGGTCAAGATCGGATTACACAAAGGTAGGCATTGCTTATGCTGATATTCAGTCTACCTGCTTCAGCAGCTCGGCAGCTGTTTTGAAGATGCCCAGAAATTTATGTATGGACAGTCGAATTTGTGATGAAATCCCCCTCCAACATCCGAAGCACCTTCAGTATGAACAAGAGTGAGTTAACTGTAGACTGTGAAAGATTAATGTAAAATGTTTTTAGGAATCAAACAGGTGGGGAAGGTGTTGTTTCTAGAAGTAATGAAGTTTAATAAGCTTATAAGCAAATATTGTTAAAAGCATCTTTCAACTAGTAATTGTTAAACATGAAACTCAACCAGATTTGTAGCAACCAGTACAGAAAGAACTAATAGTGCCTCCGAGCTGATAGCCAATGCACAAAACTATAAGGTGCACATACAAATGTAGAAATTCTCATTTCAGACATGTTGGCATTACGTGAGTTTTTCACAGGTTTTGCGATGATCATTGAAACAATGATGATCCAATAAATGTTTTTTGCAAGGGATTTTTATTATATTAATTCCAATTTCCTAACCTGAGACATGCGAGGCCTTGAATGAGGATCCCGCCTGATGCACAAGGAAGCACATTGCAGCATGCCATAAACATCTTGCTCTGTGTAGCAGTTCCCCAAGCGGGGGTCAACAAGTTCCTGTATGGCATGACTTTCTAGTAAAGGGCGTGCCTGCTCCAAATTTGAACATCAATAGTGAGACAATGAATTTATGATAAATTTTAAAGTGATTAATATTTGCCCAAGGAAATTACCATACAATTAGAAGCAAGGGACAAGATAAACTAGGTGATCTGTTGATCCTCTAATGACAAGAAGTCAATCTACTTTTATCAAAGATTTTCTGCAATCACCAATCTACAAAATTGTAACCTAAAATCAAGTCAGTTTCGTACCCATTCTGTGAGGCACTGCTGTCCCTTGGGCCGATTTATGTCCATAGCTTTTCGTCCAGTAATGAGTTCTACCAATACCACCCCAAAGGAGTAGACATCAGCTTTTTCAGTAATTTGGCCACTTTGGGCATATTCTGGAGCTAAATACCTACCAAGAATGTTTTCCTCAATAAATTTGTCTTCACTAGATCATAAAGCAACAATGAAAAAGAAGTTATGTAGGTGTACCCGAATGTCCCAATTACTCTAGTTTCCACTCCCCTGTCTCCATCTGGCTGCCACCTTGCCAACCCAAAATCCCCAACCTAAATGATCCAGAAGCAATAGTCAGTTTACATTCCCTGTTAATGGATAAGTATAAAAGGAACACACGATATGTGCCTATTGTTTGACAAAAAATGAAGAGCATTCACACTTGAATGGGCGGTGCATTGAGGCCAAGATACAGAGGTCAAGATAAATTTGAAAATTTGTTCACATAGAGCTTAGAAGACATGACATACTAAAGATTCAAAATCATGGGTGAGAAGGATATTGTTAGGCCGCAAATCACGGTGTACTATACAACCAACTCTGCATTCTTCATGCAGATATCTCAATCCTCTAGCTGCTCCAACAGCAATCTTTTTCCGTGCAGACCATTGCAACGTATTATGATTATGTCCTGAAAATTGTCCATTTAGAGGAGTAATTATCAATGACCATTGAGGACAAGGAACATATTAGACTCACACACAACCATCTCCAGTCTGAGGACCAAGCAGCATTTCCCATTTAAGAAAGTTTTGACAAGTGATTGGAATGAAATACATTATCCACAAAAGAAATAAGTTTGACAAAATTATAAAGGTATTACATTGAAAGGCAATCTAAGAATTGATTAAACATCTTATGTAACTAGACACACCATTCCCCCAATAAATAGCCAACAGAAAATAAAAGTGGTCATTTAAGGGCACGACTTTAGGACATTCCAGGTAACTCAAATTAGTTAGTTAACAATAGTTTTGAAGTTCATTAAACTGAGAAACTGATATAAATATATCAATTTCAATTCATAAGCAGAGAGGAACATCTCCCTTGATATTCTCTAGCTATTTGCTTGTCCATGATCAAGATTAGTGAGTCATAAATAAATTAGGATAGAAGAGAACTTACCATAAAGATGAGAGTCCAGAGACCCATTGCAAATGTACTCATAAACTAGCAATCTTTTTCCATTCTCTACACAGAACCCAATCAGCATCACAACATTACGGTGCTGTGCACAACTTAAAACCTCAACTTCTGAGCAAAATTCTAGATCACCTTGAGAACTAGCCAACTTATGTTGCTTTACAGCAATCACCTGACCATCTGGTAAGATCCCTCTATGAACAGAGCCAAATCCACCTTCAGCCAAGAAATTCGATTGTGAAAAGCCATTTGTAGCATGTTCCAATTCAGCATAAGTGAACCACCTAGGAGGATGCCCAAACACAGGGGCCTTGTGCTGACATATTGAACACAATGGAGGAGGTCCAGAAGGAGCATTTCTTGACAGTGAGATAGCTTCCCTCACACTTTTGCTCACCTTCAGATCAAGCCTATAATTAAGGACCCCGACATCAGGTTCTCGATTCAATGTAGATAATTTCTCCAACAAAACTCTATATGTCGCTGTTAGAGATGAATCGTTCAGTCTCTGAAAATCCTTGCCAAGATGCTTAGAGTCAGTGACAGAACTGCGAATGTCAGCTGTCCCTGGCTCGAAAAATGATATTGTTTTTGAAGGATCTATCTCATTGTCAGAGCCCGAATCAGATTCAAACAGATTTTGGCTTTCTTCAGTTATAAATGAATACTCCTTCTTCAAATTCTCATATAATCCGGGGAGGGAAAACGGTGAGGCCCCAGGATCGGAGCTTGATATTGATGAAGTTCCAACATCAGTAGTAGTCAGGGACAATTCATGATCTGGACTGCTCACAGGAGTCACAAATGGCCCCCTAATTTCATCTAATTGGTCATGCTTGCTTTTCTTATGTTTAGGAGATGCTTCTGATTCAAATGATAATGGCCAAGCCACTTCAGGTGCCATGTTAGGTGATCCAACCAAATTCAATCGCAGAACCTTTGGCTGAGATCGTTTCATGACCACAAGATTGCATTGCAGCTCTTCCAGGCAGTGTTTCTTCTCATGTTTTAATCTTCTGTGCAAAGGTTTGATAGAAATAATAAAAATAATTAATTGAACAAATAGAAGAATCGAAATGAAACTAAAGTGAAAAAGGAAGTTTCAGAACATGAGAATGTTGGCTACTATACACATGTGTTAACTAAGACCTTGTGTAATTTGCATATTCTTACATAGCTAAAACCATGCTTAGGCTTGAGATCAATATATGATACATCATGCAAGAGAACAAAGTTTACATTGTATATATTACTTATCCAATATAACCCAGTTCGATTGAGCTTTCTTGGCTTCAGCAGCCACTATCCCATATGGTGATCCAGGAACGATTTTTACCCTGACCTTGACCTGTAAACAGGAAATAAAAACTCAATACTAGGAACGAAGCTTTAAGAACTAAAGAAACATCTGAAAATAAATTAATCCACTAACCTTCTCTGGGTCATAAACATCTTGTAACTGAAAAATCATTTGGGAGCAAGAATCTGCAATATCTTGTTTTTGATCTAAACTTGTTCCTGAGAGAGACTTCCAATGAGCAGTGGTGCAATCACTGGTAAATCTTGAAATCCCCCATATCTTTTTACCTGATAATGTATTAGGTCTCAATAGGTTATCAACAGCAAATACTATGAAGTGAATGTAACCAGCAGAGACCAAAAGAGATAACAAAGCAGCAGAATGCTTAAACCATATTCTCAGTTGTAGCAATTATATATAACTGAACCTGATAATTGCATATTAAGCTGATAAGAAAGTATACTGCACATGATCTTAGCCTAATGGCCAAGAATGTTATTCAACCCAATAATAGGTTAATGTCAATAACGTTCATTCTTTTGGCTCATGCTAAGTGGCCATTTATAATCTGTGAAGCAGTGTATCAAATACAGCACAGCATGAAGACGCTAAGATTAACAGTTATGAGCCACCCAACAGCCAAGTAGAACAAAGGAAGAAAGGAACATTATGCACCAGAGCTCTCTACTATTTACTCAAATTAA